GTCCTGTCTGTCTGGGTTTGGATGGAATGGACGGAATGCCTTCCGTCTCAAGGAATAATGGTTAAAAAAAAAAGGAATAATTTTACTAGCTAGTGACAGTGTTATCCTGGGTTTGATAAAAGTCGTGGTGGGGGAACAGCGACCTGTTATGTCAGGTGGTAGCAGGTATTAATCTGAGCAATCCATTTATCCTGAGGAGTCTGGTGTCTAGGGCCAAACAAGAGTGGGAAGGCCAGAAGAGTGGGGACTGGTATCTTTCTTAACACAGCCTGACTTCCAGTGTCCAGAGAGCAGGAGCAGGACAGTGGCCATAGATTGGGGCATGTTCTTGCCCAGTGACCCATTTGGCTACCTTTAAAGCAGGCTCTAGGTGGTCTAGCCCTGAGAGGGGAGTGTCTTACTCCCATGTTTGAGTTGTCCTGTGATGAAACTTGGAGTAAGGCTGCTACCAGTGTTTAATATTTCACCTAATCGCCCTTAAGGTTCTAACATTTAAGAGCCTTCTGTTAGCATGTTAGCATTTCTTCGAGGTTCCCCCCAACACTTACCTAGCAAGAGCCAGACAGAAGCTGGCTTCCTATAAAAGGACTGTTTGGCCTCTTGTATCCTCTCACTGATCTCTCTCTCTCTCTCTCTCTCTCTCTCTCTCTCTCTCTCTCTCCCTCTCTCTCTCTCTCTCTCCCTCTCTCTCTCTCTCTGCCCCCTCTCCCTCTCTGTCCCTCTCTATCCCCTCTCTTTCACCACCTCTACTCCCTCCTCAACTCTCCTTCCCATCCCTCCCAAATACACTTCATTTTATACTAGACCCATTATATGACCGGTACCTCAGAGAAAGATGCTTCAGCATGGGCTCATTAAGGAAGCCCCTCCCATGGCATCATACCGCATTTTACAAAACATATCACCTCCTGTCTGCTATTGATGACCTTAAAGGCCACTTTTATGAGGTGTCTTTGAAGGGTAGAGGGCTGTCCTCCAGTCTTTTTTTTCTTTTTGTGAGACAGGGTTTCTCTGTGTAACAGTCCTGGCTGTTCTGGGAACTCACTTTGTAGACCAGGCTGCCCTTGAACTCACAGAGATCTGCCTGCCTCGGCCTCCCGAGTGCTGGAACTAAAGGTATGTGCACCATGCCCAGCCATGTCTTTGAATCTGTTTCCTACTACCAGTTTGCCAACTGAAAGTTAGGATGAAGGTGTTGCTCTAATTTCCCCCACTGTCATTCAAGGTCAGGTTGGTATATTTAGTTTCTGATAAAGATTAGGTCCAAAGCACCTACTGTGCCGCCCCCCCCCCACTTCTGTTTATCAAGAGACTCCTATAGATTACCAGGAACCTCCCTTAGTCCAACCCAAAGGTCGACTACTTCAGGCAAGGACAGTAGTTCCTGTTCAGTCTTAACAGCCTGTATTAGCTCAAAGACTACACTCTGCTGACTCTCCTATAAGAAAATCTACTTGCCTTTCCACCATTCTCCTCTTCTCTCTGCTTCCCCTGCCCCCACCCCCCGGGAGATATCCTTGATAGTTTGATTCCCAAATGAACCTTTCTTTCTACTCATGGAGAGGTCTAGTGTCTGGTTTCACCCCACTCTTGCATACAATAAGCATGAGAGATAGAAGGCTGGATTTTCATAGACACCCGCCCCTGCCTCCGATAATTGCTTTGATTTGGTCAAGATTGGCCACCTTAAAGGCTGCCACCTGCCTGCCTGCCTATGTGTCACCTTCCTGCCATGAGGAAAATAATCACAAGGCCTTATTTGTGGAGATCATCTGAATTGGATTGTATTTCAACAAAGAGGGGCATATGGAAGTCACAGAGCACTCACTGCATTACGATATCTATCCTGGACAGGAATCTGTTGCCACACGCCTGAGCTGCCCTCCAGATACACTCCCTGTCCTTGGGAGACATGATGGAGGTCAGGGTGACACAAGCATCAGGGCTGGTTAGGTTTAAGGACTGGGTATTAAATATTGAAAATTGTTGTGATAGAAATTGGTGTCAGTTAAGAAGCTCAACCATTTTTCTACCGGAGAGAGACCGGTGAGGGGAGGCGGGGACATGGGCACACGTGGGAGCCTTAGGTCTAGCAACATTGTGAAGTGGAATAGAATTCAAGTAAGAACGGTTATGTGGGGGTGAAGGGAGGGGTAGGGAAAGGCTTGATAAAGGGAGAGAAGGTGGGTTAAAGGCTGAGGCCAGACCTAGAAAGGATGGTTTGGCTGGATAGAGAAGAGGAGAGGGCTGGAGATATATCTAGATGGCTAAGAAGTTTGTTAAAAGATACACTAAAATGACAGTTGCCGTTAAAAAGATTTTAAAAGTCTAATAGGCTGAATTATAAAACTAATACTTTAAAATATACTGCCTGGGAATGATTTAACAATCTATTATGAGAAAGTTCATTTAAAAAGTTAACACTGAAAAAAAAAAGTTAACACTGGGCCTGGAGAGATGGCTCAGTGGTTAAGAGCACTGACTGCTCTTCCAGAGGTCTTGAGTTCAATTCCCAGCAAACCACATGATGGCTCACAATCATCTGTAATGGGATCTGATGCCCTCTTCTAGTGTGTCTGAAGACAGCTACAGTGTATTCACATACATAAAATAAATAAATCTTAAAAAAAGAAAAGAAAGCAAATGCTCTATTTACCCATCTAGTTGTGGGTAATAGCAAGGCCCACGACTACTTCTGGCCCTACCATTTGCTAGCTTGTGGTCCTGAACAAGTAATGTATATATATTTTAGGTTTCTCTGTGTAGCCCTGGCTGTCCTGTAACTCACTCACTCACTCTGTAGACTAGGCTGGCTTCCAGCTCAGAGCTCCACCTGCCTCTGCCTTCTAAGTGCTGGGATTAAAGGTGTGAGACACTATGGCCTGGCATGACATAACCTTTTTGAACCTCGACTTTGGCCTCAAAAAAAATTTCTACCTGGGTGGTATTTGGATCAAAACGGTTGAGTTGTTTTTGAACTACAAATACCTAAACAGACAGAGCATCAATACCCACTTATTTATTTATTTATTTATTTATTCATCTATTTATTTATGTTAGTATAGAATAGAGTTTATTTAGGGCATGGGGAGGGGAGTTGAGGGAGTAGACAGAGAAAGGCAGAGAGAGAGAGAGAGAGAGAGAGAGAGAGAGAGAAAGTGGCTGGCCTTGAGCATGTGGACATAGTCAGGGGCAGGGAATGGGGAGAGAGGGAAGGAAGAAGAGGGTAAGGGAGGAAGGGCAAGGGGAGAAGAGAAGAGAGCAAAAGCAATATCCACTTATTTATACTTACTACGCAGACGGAGATCCAGGGTGCAGGGTAATGTGGTAAGGCCTGTTTATGTGCTAATCCTATTTGATCTCCACAACAGTTGATAACAGCATATGGTTTGTAGTAGGAAAACTAGAAAGCAAAGGGGCTGCCAAGGTTGAAAGCCAGGCCCTTTGGCTCAATGTGTTAACACATTATGGCTCTGCTGGTTTAGAAGGAGACGTTTAAGGTCAAGAGGTGGAGTGCTATACCACCTGTGTATAAAGGTAGTAAAATAGTACATATAGGAATTCAAATATCTGCTTCTGTTCATAAATTATGTCAAAGGATATTGATATTGAGGAGTGGAAAATAGCTTTAATTGAGGAAATGCAGGGTACTGAATATGTTGAAATGGTGATTTTTGAATTTTGAAGCATGTAAATTTTATTAGAAATGCATCCAGAGATATCATCTATCTATCTATCTATCTATCTATCTATCTAATTATTTATTTGAGATGGGGTCTTACCATGTAGCTCTGGCTAGCCTTGAACTGGCTATATAGACCAAGATAGCCTGTTTCTCGAAGAGATTATCCACCTCTGCCTCCTGAGTACTGAGATTAAAAACATGCACCACTATGACAAGTGAATCAGAGATAAATTCTTTTTTTAAAAAAGGATTTATTGATTTTATGTACATGAGCACACTGTAGCTGTCTTCAGACACACCAGAAGAGGGCATCGGATCCCATTACGGATGGTTGTGAGCCACCATGTGGTTACTGGGAATTGAACTCAGGACCTCTGGAAGAACAGTCAGTGCTCTTAACCACTGAGCCGTCTCTCCAGCCCCAGAGATAAATTCTTACAAAGAAAACATCAAAGAATAATGTTCTGGCTAGGTAGGTCTTGTCAGTTTGATCTAAGTTACTGTTATCTGGGAAGAGGAACTTCAGTTGAGAAACTGTCTTTGTCAGATTGGCTATAGGCAAATCTATAGGGCATTTTCTTGATTAATGATGGATGTGGGAGGGGCCAGGCTCACTGGGAAGTGGTGTGACCCCTAGGGAGGTGCTCCTGGATGATATAAGAAAGCAGGCTGGGCAAAGCATAAAGAGCAAGCCAACAATCTTGTGTTTCTCCGATGCTTCTTTGCTTCAGTTCCTGCCCTGACTTCTCTCAGTGATGGAGTGTGTGACCCGGGAGTTGTAAGCCAAATAAACCCTTTCCTCCCCAGGTTGCCTTTGGTCATGGTGCTTTATCACAGCAATAGAACCATTAACGAATTTTAAAAAGTAAAATAAAAACCACCCGGAAATTACATAAACATATAGGACTCTTTTTTTTTTTTTTAACTTTCTAATGCTAGTAGTCTCGTTTTCTTTAGTGGGTGGAGTGGGGACATCAGGGGTGCCTGGCATGTGTATTTATCGCAACTGTCCGGTTCATTAAAAGCTGAGTATTCAGCACACTGTAAACATAATATCTCGACCAGAGCGGACCTATTTGCTTACCAGGGAAAACCTGGGACCAGAAGCCCTGCTTCCTAAGGGACATCTTCCAGCACAAAGACTGCAATTACACGAGTGGCAACTGGCGACTGCCACAGCGCGTGCGCGGCCCAGAACCCAGCGCGAAGAGAGAAGGCGTGACGGCTGGCGCCTGCGCAGTGGCGGTGCAGGGAGGCTACGGTCACAGCGCATGCGCGGGGAGTAGAAGGGGGAGGTGCCAGTGAATAAGGGGCGGGCGGAGGGCGGGAGCCGCAAGGGAGACAGGGCGGGCCGAGGGAGCGGCGCCGTGGGGTTGGCTGTTGCCCTGAGGCCGGACTCAACGGACCGGGCCGCGCCACCGGGCGAGCTCGCCGCCCGGCCCCAGCCCGGAGCCAGCGAGTGAGCGAGGCGGTGCCGCGCGGTAAGAGCCGGGGCAGGGTCTTCTCCGCTTGTGCCGCGGGCACGTTCGTCTCCTCAGCGCCGCCCGCGCGGCCAGGCCCGGGCGGCCCCGCAGACCCTGGCGGCCCCGCGCCTGCGCTGTCCCCCCCCTCGTCACCCCCCCATCCCCAGCCATCCCGCGCCTGCGCCGTCTCCTGCCCAGGCGGACCTCACAGCTTGACCCGCAGACCCCCAGGGAACCCAGGCTGGCGTGGTACCCAGCTAGTTGGGGGTCTCATACCTGCGGAGAAGCTGGATGCGACCTTCGTGCTTGCATTCCCTGTGGTGTCGGGAGAGACGGGGTGTTCACCCTGCTCCCTTGCCCTGGGCTGGGACAGGTTGCCTCCCCATCTGGTGGATCGAGGGTGGGGAGCAGAGGACTCCCGAAGGCTGCGTCCTGCTGTGTTAGGACCTGGCTGTTAGAAGCTGGCGGTGTTCTTTATTCTTGAGACTTGGCTAATTCTATCAGATTGGATGTGGACAATACAGTGTGTTGTTGAAGAAATGCATTTTCAGTAGTGGCTGCATTGAAGCCATCTGGTGTGTGTGTGTGTGTGTGTGTGTGTGTGTGTGTGTGTTGGTGGCGGTGGTGGTGGTGGATATAACCCAGAGAACACTCGAAAATAAATCAGTTTCTGGGTGGGCTTAGCCACCTAAAACCAAACGAAAATTTCCGTGATCATTCAAATGCAGGCAGCCTTGAATTTTTTTTTTTTCATTCCCTTGACGATAAATCCTAAAGTGCAGCGGGGTGAGGGGGTACCTGATTAAAGGGAAATTTGACTGACATGAGAGAGAGAATCATAAGTTTTGGCTCACACCTGTAATCCCGGTACTCGGCAGGCAGAGTAAGACATTGTCTCAAAATAAAAACAAAACAAAAAAACCCAAAACAAATCGCGTAGCCCAGGAAGGCTTCTTGTCATCAGGAGGGTAAATCTTGAAGTGAAATCAGCTGTGTGAACTACAGGCAGCAGCAGTTCTACTTATAAAGGTTTGGAGTGAGGTACCAGCGTTGTTGCATAGGCACTAAAAGGCACTATTCGGTTGGTTCTCTTTCAATACATCGGGAATGAAGATTTGAAAAGCGATAGGTCTGTGTTGAATTCGGTACAGACTCTTTTTTTTTTTTCCCTTGTCCTTTCATTGTACTGGGATAATATAAGCAATTGAGGATTGAAGTGTGCTTGAGGATTGAGTCGTATATGAATAACTTCATTCCCGACTTTGGTATTAAGGGCATGAAATATGGCTAGATAAATGTTTTATAGCTAAGCTGTATCTACTCCCCAGCTCCGCTAGCCTCTTACCTTTCATTTGAAGATGGAGGTCAGACTAAGTATCCCAAACTAGGTATATTTCTCACTTTGTTGCCACACAGACCTAGAACTTCAGTCTTGTTTTATTTAGCCTCTGGAGAAGCTAGAATTAACTAACAGGCCTTCAACACCCCATTGGCTTAACCTCACCATTTTTATAAGTGATGTGAGTGTCAACAGATTTTAGTTATCTTGAGAGAGCCTCTAATGTCCTGTGTAACCATGATAATTGTATTTTTTTCTTAATTAAAAAAATTGAAAGTAATATATTTATGTCCCAAAATATTCAAACCAATATAGAAGGAGATATGGAGAAAAAAGTATGTTGGTCTCATAATAATTTTTTTCCTATTGAGAAAGAGCTGATGCTCCCTCCCCTTTATCCCCCATTAAAAATGTCTCATTTTCCCTTTGGATCTGATGTACACCAGTGTTCTAACCTTTCAAAATTTCAGATAGCTTGAGAATGTATGTTTGCCTGTGTATATCCCAGGTATGTAGGGATCTCCTTGACATTATAAGAAAATGATTTTTGTACCGTAGAAAATCTGTGTGAAGGTGTCTTAAAATATCCGTCAAAATATTAGTGTCAGATGCAGGGAGGAGAGTAATTATGGTTAAAGTGAAATTTGCTCAGGGTGTGTACCCACATCTTGTTTTCTTGACAGCATGTGACTTGGGAAGCAGCAGTTCGCTTTCTGACTGACTTGACATAGCTCTTTGATCAGATGACTCAGGTATCGCAAAAGGTCAAAATTCCTATGAGGGTTGGGTTTTCTTATATACAAGACTTGCTGAGTAACCGTATGTCTATTTAAATTACATGTCTAGCTTGCACAAAGTGTGACTGCAGACAGCTCACCTTGATAGAGGAATGATGACAGTGTCCAGGGGTTGAGACATTTTTCTTTTCTTTTTCGTTTTGTCTTTATGGCTTTGGGCAAGTAAGCTTTTCTGGATCTTTGTTTCTCCATTCAGTGCATTTACACAGGGGAGCTTCAGAAACAATTTTAATATTAAAGACTCCTTTTCTAGAGTTTTCCGCCAATGATGATATTGTAGTTTCCTTCTCAAAAATTTGGCTGCTAAGGCAGGCTGTGTAGTATGTCTGAGATGAATGAATCTGAGATACCCTGGGGTAAACGAGTATTGAGTAGGTGTTTATGTTATAAGAAAAACAAGGGCAATATTGGGAGTTTTGATGACACTGAAGGTATTCAATTTAAAGGACCATCATTTCTAAAAAACAAACAAAAGTCACCCAGTTTCTTGGTGATAGGGGCTGAAGAGTTGGCTCAGCAGCTAAGAGCATTTGTTGCTCTTATAAAGGACCTGGGTTTGGTTCCCAGCACCTACATACTTGGTGCCTCACAACCATCTGTAACTGCGGATACAAGGACCCAGCACTTTCTGTAGGGCACCAAGCACACTTGTAGTGCACGTACATACATTCATGCAAAACACTCACCCACATAAATAAGTCTTAAAAAGTTTTACATTTCAGCATCTAGTTGGACATGGTTTTTACAAGCTTGTAGTTTCAGTTGTATTGGAGGTTGAGAAAGATTGCTTATGTCTAGTAGTTTGAGGCCAGTCTGAGCAATGTAGGTAGGTAGGCTCTATTAAAAAAAGAGTAAGGTCATTTATGATGGTGATACCAAACGATGATTTATGGTAATGGCAAATGGTAAACACGAGAGAGCACACTGACTGTGAGTTTAGAAATAAAGAGCCTAAAGGCTTGTTTTGTTGTTACTGTTAGTGAGGTTAAGAAAAAATTTCTGGGTTTTTGCTTTTAAAAAGATTCAAATACGGCTGCCTGGCTTGGTGGTTCATGGGGTTCCAGGACAGCCAAGATGACACAGAGAGACCCTGTCTCAAGAGCCAGAAAAGAAAGAAAGATTTAAATACATCTTGTCAGGGTTTTTGTTTGGTTTTGTTTGTGTTTGTTTGTTTTGTTATTGTTGTTTGCTTGTCTTTGAGATGGGATTTTTTTGTTCAGGCTGTCCCTGAACCCATTGTATAGCCAATGAGGACCTCAAACTTGATTCTTCTGCCTCCATCTCTCAAAGGATGGAATTATAGGCGTGGCACCGTGTCCAGGTTTATGCTGTACTGGGGATTGAATGAAGGGGATCTGTGTATATGACTTTGTGGTCATTATTTATTACCACAAATAATGTAAAAAGCCATTAAAATTGATACTAAGCATTTCCTGTCTTGGTTATCCTTAAAATGGAGTTCTCGGGCTGGGTTCAGTGGGTGAGTAAAGAGCTTACTGTACAAATCTGAGGACTGGAGTTTGGATCTCCAGAATTCTCAACAAGCTGACGTGGTAGCACATGCCTGTAATTGCCCTGCTGTAATGGGGAGGTCTGCAAAGACAGGAGGATGCCTAGAAGCTTGCTGGCCAGCTAGCTTGTAGTGTGCAGCAGCAAACAGGAGACCCTATCTCAGGATGGAAGGACTGGCACCCGAGTAGTCTTCAAGCATTCACATATGCTATGTGCGCATGCTGTCTGTGCTCAAGAATGCATATATACATACTATACATGTTCACAAGGGTCAGTATGTATATTTCTTACATGATATAAGATATCAGGAGTCTTTTATGCGTGTGCCTGCCTGTTTATATGTGTTATGTGCATTAAGCACCCACTAGTAGAGACTGATAGGTCTCTGGAATTGAGTGCATGTGCCAACAAAATACTACCAAAGGAAATTCCTGTTGTTACAATTGTTAGTGCTGAATAGACTAGCTGCAAAGTAAAGACAAAGAAAACTCTCATCAGCTCAGAAGGTTTGCTTTTTGTTTTTTCCTCAGTTGATTGATCTGAAACAACATGGTGATCAAGTTGGTCTCAGGGATGTAGCTTAATGTTCAACATCCCTAGTGATCTTGGAAGTGCAAATTAAAAGTTGATTGAGATACTATCTCATCCTTGTGACTGGCTATTGAGAAATCTGATAACAAATTTTGGCATGGATATGGGGAAGAGGAACTCTTACTCATTGCTGGTGGGAATGCAAATCAATGTGGCCTTTGTGGTCCTCAGTTTGGGGATTCCTCTGTACTACTCCTGGGGGTTTACCTAAGATATTCTATCAGGGGTATTTGCACACCCATGTTGATTGCTGCTCTGTTCACAATAGCAAGAAAATAGAAACAGCCTAATATCTATTCACTGATGAGTAAATAATGAAAATATAGTACACACATAGAATGGAATATTATTCAGCTGCACATAAAAATAAAATCATGACATTTGCAGGAGGCTGAATGAACCAGGAAAGTGTAATAAGTGAGATGATTATGAAAAACCCAGACCACATGTTCCTCCTCATATGCGGATCCTAGCCGAAGCAATGTTCATGTGTGTGCACAGAAGGTCCAAGTGTGGATTAGATCCAGAAGTCAAGAAGGGAGACTCTTAGGTGATGAAGATGATGGGCAAAAAGAGAGAGAGGATAGCAAGCTATTCTCTAGTTTCAACTCTGTCATAGGTGTGTGTCTCTGTGTGTGTGTGTGTGTGATTCGGCTTTCTGTGTATTGAAACGGCAATAATCTATCATTCCAAAATAAGCTAATACATGTTATTGTTTTGAGGCATCAATTGTGATTTCTTTTTAATTCCATTGATTAGTACAATAGGATATGATTAGT